TAGCGTCAAATGATTTATGGCTTCCTGTCGAAATTCACTGAATAAAGAAATAAAGTAACTACTTTCTGCACATCTTATGCAGGTTTCGGAGCAGGAAAAAAAAAAAAAAAAAAAAAGTAGGTACTTATGAGTTAATTTAGTGAAATATTATGTTCAGCAAATCAATGGCTATATTTCGACTGCATTATTTGTAACAAACATGAAAATTCTGCTACATCATTAGCGTATGATTGATTATATGTAGACTGAGATTTTGGATCAAATATGAAACGCTTTTCATATGGAACATATCAACGTTTTTGAGAGCATTTTACGAGAAGATTTGCATCTGAGATATTCATCACTGGTTATGTTGAAGGTACTCTGCAAGAAAGTTAATTAAATGATATAAATACTATATTTAGGTTTTCCTTTAATATGAAAAAGGTGACGCCCATGTAAATTCGGTGACGTATCACGACGACCCGCAAATACTATCAATCCAAGCCACCCAAGACTTGTAAATAATTTTTAAAATTTAAAATAAGGAAGGTAACATTAGCTATTTTGCATAACAACCAATTTATAAATGCACTACCTGTTATGCACGTTCTTTTTGAAGCATATAATAAACGTTATACAACCATTTCTAAATTTAGAATGCGTGAAATACCGTAACACTCCATTAAAAAAAATGTATCATTGTACTTTTTGCAAGAATAAAGTTTTCATGTGTTATCTCTACCTACCTTCATAGTAGTATTCTAGGTTTGTTCATAAAAATTTTCAGCAGCGATTTCGTTTAAATCTGATTTTTTGTTTTGTATGTATCGTAAATTATTTTACTTTTGGAAATTACTTTTTCACAAACGTGCCCAAAATATGAAATGCCTGTGAGCGGAAATTTACGCCTGACCAAATTGCATACAAAATGCGCTAATGCATTGTTAGAACAAGGACGTAAATCCACTTAAAAGTAACGTTACATTGCAAACAAAGAAATATCTGCTATTCTGGGACAATATTTTTGCAAATGTTTAAACAATTTTAAGAAATTTATGCTAAGTGAAATTGCAAGAAAATCTAAAATATAGGTCTCTTCGTATTATCATAGCGGTAGACATGCGCTCCCTTATCAATCATCAGTAGGAATTTTAATTTCACATATCTCCTGGTATTCATAATTTAAATGAATTTTAACCATTCAGCTAACTGCAGGCAAAATTAAGAAATTAAACTGATTACATTGTAATTCATACTAATATATCAGCTTGTACTTTCTCTTAAAAAATTTCTTCAAAGTAAACTGATTAGCAGAAATCTACCAAAATTCTGCTCTCCAAGTTCAGAGGGAAAAAAAATGCTTCAACACAGGTCAAGAGGCCCTTCCAAAAATATCTATATATGTTTGTAATAATAAAATTCCATAGTCAAGAATACACTTAAAATTCTAACTGTATGTTCTTTTCATTTTTAATGGCGACGTTCTCTTATTTGAAAGTACGTGGAATTAAATTCCACAGCCCCGTAGTCAAGTTGTTTTTCCCGCTTTTTCTACACGTACAGTTTATAGAATGTTCTGGAAATATTTAAAAGCGAACTGGATTGGCTGACGAGGCTGACGTATTTCTTGGAAGCTCCGCTTTTCCAGAGGGCTATAAAAAACTCGCAAAAGGAATATCGAGGCTTTTTCTTAAATGTCACGATGCAGTAACTTCATACAAAAAGTTTTAGAAACTTTTTATTTACTCTGGATATCTGATTTGTAACTGCTATTTCTCCTGAATAATAATAAATGGATCCTGTTTTTTTAAAACTTATCGTCTGATAATTTAAGCTACGACTAAAGCTGGTACATCACATATATATATATATACAATTTTCTTTGGAGAAAAATTGGACCACTCATTAATAAAAAAATAATCACAATGTAAAATAAAGTTTACTTATATCTTATTTTATGGATATATGAAGCAAGAATACAATTTGATGCACATGTACTTGATGATAATGAAGAGCTACACACAGCAAATGAAGCATAAAAACGAAAAGGTAAAACACCAACACCTGTAGAAAGTAATAGATAATATAAAAATTTCTCAATAAACTATAACATGCGTCTAAGCTCAGCTTTAAAAAATCCAATTCAAATCAAACAGTAATGTATTTTTTTTACATCCCATTTATTAAAGAAAGCTGATATTAATCAACCTTTCATTAAACTATGCTCTTTTTTTTCTTATACAACTTCTACATTCAGTCAACTCTTGCTAACCATAGTATGCAAAACCCTCTTATAGTATTATCTGAAGACTGGAAGCTTGAAATCCTATTTATGAATAGTATTACACATTTAAATTGTGATAGTTATCATATCGGTATAAACCCAACTGCAAAGATATAAGTGTCTTGTTTAAAAGCATGCGTATGCTATTCATCATAATTACATTAACATTGGTACGTAGGCCGTCACCTAAGTCTTGGCCCTCGAAGAAGAGAGGCTTCGCGAAAAAGGCAATACGGTCAGCGAGCTAAAAAGTCTGAGGACCTTTGATTTAAATGGACATTTTAAGATAAAAAAACGCTTGGTTTTTCATCAAAGCCATCAATGCAATGTATTTTGCTTAATTGGTTTTCACAAACACAAAATAGAGTAAAAGTTAGATACTGAAACGTACAAATATTGCTTCAATAAAACTATTTCATTGGAATACTGCATATCTGCCCTCACCACATTTCAGAGATGTCTGCACTCTTCACGCAGCTCAGTTTTTGGCTTGTAACCAGCGTCTTTAAAGTTGTCTGTACCTTTATGCTGAGGCATTATAACGAAATTATTTTCTGTCCTTGCGAACACTGGCTGGGCTGCATAGTAAGATGCTGTCATATTTATGAAGGGACAATGGTGTACAGTTACAGTGGTATCCCATTTTGTCTATAAATAAAATACTTTGATTGAGAAATTTGTTAAATTTTAAGTTATTTGAATGCTGCGCTTTGTAAAATTCAATCAGGACAAGTAAAGAACTATTAAAATTTAACATTCAAAAGAAGTTTTATAGAATTTCATACGGAAGAGAGACGAGCTTATGTAAGGCATTAATTATGAAAAAAAGCTTTTGATCTTTTTAATCTGTCGAGTCTTATACAGCATAAGGGAATTGCATTAATCTGTCAATGAAAACACAGTTTCAGAAAATCATTGGTATTTGACGAATTATCCGTAGTGATGCTGTGTCCAAAAAATATCAAAGCTCGAAAGACATAAAAAACTGAAATTCTGCATTTGAATAACACATATAAGCAAGCATAAATGTTCGATAATTCTACTACATACTACTAGAATGGGGGGTTAAATTAAACATCTGGAAACCGCATAAAAATTTGATACTTTGCATCGGAATCATGGTTACAAGAGATCTGACATGATTCGGTAGAAAATAATTATTTCTATGAATTGCGAGCGCCCAATCAATCGCATGCAGTTCTTTTCTTTTCTCTCTCTCTCTCTTTTTTAATAATCATTTTTACAAGTCTTCAACTGCGGTATTTTTTAATTATTTTTTAGGATTGCTACAAAACTGTTCCCTTCCCAATCTTTCGTGATCAAAAATTCATTTAAGACTTTAGACATGATAATAAATTGTATGCCCCTTTTCTTTAAAAGTAAAAAAAAAAAAATTGCATTAAATAAAATTTACTGATGTAAGGCAAAAACTTTTATTGAAAAATAAACATTATTACTGCGTTTCGATAAACCAAATCTTTAGAATCACCAAGTGACAAGTCTGCAGAAAGCACTCTTATTCGCCGGAAAATAACAGCCACTCTGTCTTCTAATCTTACTTTGATTTATGAGGGAAAATGTAAAAATTTCAAATGACACTCGAAATACTTTTTAGAGGTTAGGTTATGCGTTTTATTTGACAAATTTCTTTTTATAACTTTTTAAAAGATATAGATTATATTTTTGAAAACTACATTCTTAATTTTTTTCATTAAGCACAGATTTCAAGTTTTGCTTTTAATAATTAAGTAAGACTTTTATTATTCCCTCCCTATTTCAATAAAAGAATCGAGATTTAAAGATTAAAAGCCTTTTAGCTATCCCTAACAAAAATGAAAAGGAAATGCATCTGATAGAAATATGTATACATATATAAAATTCAATGAATTAATTGAAAAGTCGCTTTCATTTCAGTGTTTGTAAGCAAAATGACTAATAAGTAATCAGTTTGAAAGAGTAACTTTCTGTTAAACATAGCTATAACGCAAAGCCAGTGTCACACCCATTTGTTAAGTTTACCTTGCCCTTATTATTTCGTAAATGCTTCATTAATCTTGAAAGCTTCTGGTACATTCCATTTTGCTATGATTTTTTATTTGTACCAATTGTAATTCCCTTTGTTCTTAATAACTACGCCATATTGAATGCGCTCATTCCTTTTTTACTTGGGAATTGTGTGATTTCGGCGAATTTTCTTAATTACAATTACCGAACTTATTTATTATTTTACTTATAATTATCTAACTGATTATAAGGAAAAATGCTATTACTGGCGGCTACACTTTATTTTGTGGCAATTAATTTTGCATGATCTGAAAATAAAATAACTTGTATTGTTTCCATTGCACAAAAAATATAAACCTACTATCATGACAAAGTAGAAGATCTGACTAAATCACATATCATAATATCTATTGGTAGTAGCTCTTATTAGCTGACCGATTAGCAACTAATACATAATAGTTACCAACTATTTCAACATATTGTATGTAAACATAAATATTTGCAAATCTATGTACCACAATATCTATAGATAAAATGTGCACCAACCTTTGTGCCACAGTTTTCAATTTAATTTCTTTTTCTGTAAGATTTATCCTAGATTTCTCGGAACCATTTCTTTGTAATAGTACATTACTAAAAGATGATTATGATAAACTCTGAAAATATTTTTGACATATTATTATTATTGCTGTTGTTACTATTGAATATAGATTTTGAAAGAAGTACTCACGTTTTGGTGTTCCCCTGTCTTCTGGTGTAGATCTTTCGATCGATCGGGATTCTTCGGATAAGTTCGGAGTTTCTGATAACCTGTCCTGGCCATCGGCCATCGAGTCGCTGTCACCTCGATCGTCTTTTCCATCCAGAAAACTTCCGACACTTGGACCACCATGTCCTAAAGACGACCCCGTCGAATTTGCCGGACTCTGATGAAAACTGGATTCGCTGCCTCCTCCACTGCCTTGGTAACAGGGCCCTAAGAGAAGAGGTTGTGGTCCTCCGAGGTCATTTCCATTCCCAGAGCCATCTAATTTCATACATTTTGCAGGCATGAAAGCGGAGCCGTGAAATGCCCCATTGCGATCATCAGTTAAACCTAAAGGTCGAAAAGCCCCGGCAGCGTTCAGATAACTGCGCCCCAGAGCATGGCTAGCGAGAAGAGGGTGGTGAAGGGATAACAAGGGAGAAGACAAGGATGTGTAGGGATCCCCTTGTCCGAACAGGGGTCTTACGGGAAACGTGGGGCTGGGAAAAGGTACAGCCGCCGAAGAGACTCCGCCGCCGCCCTCCTTTCCTCCGTCTAGCCGCCCCTGCTGATGCCGAGCGGCGAAAGTTACGTGGCTCTGCGCGTGGGGAGTGACATCTCCGCACGTAGAGCTGAGGACCATGACTGCTGGGCTGCCCATGGCATTCGACAGGTATGCGGAACTGTCCAAGCCTCCCATGCAAAGGCCCTGTAAAGAAGCGTTTATCAGTTCATTCAGCAAATATTTGAATTCATTTATTTTTTGCAATTATAAAAGGTTTTTAAAAAAAGCTAACACCAGAGAAATAAGTGATGTATAATAGATTAATTGAGCTAAATGCTAATATTCCCGTTTGTTTCAAAATTTTCTTTTCAGTGAAATCGTTTTAAAGGTATTAATACTTTGTGGTATAATTCACCCATCATTTTTTTTTTTTTTTTTTTTTTTTTTTTTTTTCATTATGCAGATATTTGTTTGGGGTCTAGGGCTCGGTGAGGGATAAATGAAAGGGGGGAGAATTGAATATAATCAAATTAAAATTAATGTAAAAGAGATAAAAAATTTAGAAGATAAGCTTGATATTTACCTCAAATATTAAAATTCTTCGGCACGGTTCTGATAGGTACGTTCCCAATTTCAATAAAAATTTCATCTTGTTCATATGAAGTAACATATTCTATCATATTTTTTCCTCACTTTTAAATTATTATTATCGTGAAATTAAAAAAAAAATAAGCATTTTTAAGAATGTTTTAAAACTGCATAGTATCTGAATCAGTAGATGTACAAATTTAAAGCATCAAATTTTAAATATATTTGCAGCAGTTCGTATAATTAGTTAATATAAAAAGTGTTTCGTTACTTTAAATAATAAAAAAATGTTTGCACCAGAAAATATTTTAAACTACCAAGGTATATTAATTACATGGAACTGATATTATTAAACACCTCATATAATCTTTTATTACGAAATAAGAAATTGTACGTAAACTTCATTGTTAATTTGTGGTATTATCTTTTATTATAACATCTAAAAATTAATTTTGCTTATACTCCTTCAAAAGTGTACATTTCTAATGCATGAATTTTATTGAACTGGTGAAAAAAGTGCGAATTTTAATATATCCTATATATCCTTTTGAAGTATATATTATATTTCAAAAATTAAAAGCACATTAGTAAAAACTAATATATGAACATTTTGATATTAGCCCCTATTTTATTTGAAGCTTTTATTTAAACTTCATTCTAATTTCAATTCCTTTTAAAATTGAAGAACATTTTCATCCTCCATGATATGCTTATTCTAATATTTTGAAGATTTAGCTGAAGACTCTTTAATTTCAACTGGTTGTATAAATTTTGTCTTCATACTCTCTTGCAACTTTCGTTACATAACTCAGTAATGAGATTTATAGCACTTTTTCTTTGTTGACAATTTGCTATAAATTTAATTCAAATGATTTCCTTCTTTTTTGCTGAAATTTTAGTTAAAAATATATCCGTTGAAGTAATCTTCACGTATAAGATTCAGCACATTATCTTTCAACACTTTTATTTCATTCCTTAAAACTCCCAACAGAATCAGACGGTTTTCTTGACGGGACCAATCCTTTTTTAACTGTGCATTTAATTTTCTAAGGTGCGAAATAAATGATCCTAAGTACTATTGTCCTCTGAGGGAGAGGGAAAGGCATTTAACATAACAAAAGATCAATTGTACTGCGAGAAGAAGGAGGAAAGTTTCTAAAAACAAACTCAACTCAAATCCGCAAGGGAGTTTTTTTTTTTTTTTTTCCTTCTCTCCCAGTCGCGTTTCACATGAATAATCGTCGCAAGACTTTGCTCTTCGATTTAATTGATTAGAATTTATTTCAAATAACTATTTTAATTATTTTTTTGTTTGTTTGTGTGTGTGTGAGGGGGGTATTCCTTTGATTACCTAAATACGAGTATAAATTCAATATAAGAAAATTTATATTTTTTGAAGAATATAGATGAAACAAAGATTAACTACACCAATATTTTCATCAACAACAATTACCTCTTCGATACGATAATTAAAGGATAAAAGAGTTAAAAATTATATACATAATATGTAATCCTCACTCCCGATTGACTTAGAAGCACGTTTAATTCTCTTTACAATTTTTTCCTAGACTAGAATAATCTTTAGAAAAATTATGAATGTTAATTATTTCTTAAATTCAATCTGTGCAAAAGCGTAGGAATTTCTTATTGTATTTTTAGCCCAAAGAACTTTAGACCAGAAGGGCAATTAATTTCATTTTGGCATTTTGTATCGAAATCTTTAAAGGACCGTTTCCTTTTTCAAATTGTGGCCCCAAAATATTATCGCCCTGTTTTGTTTTGTTAGGGCGTAGCCAGGTCCACCTTGCAAAACAAAGTTTGCCCTATGACCATATAAGGGCTACGCCAGTAATTATCGCCCTGTATTATATTGAAAGAAATTAAACAGTTAAGAATCTGCATAAATGTATGCATGTTTCTCGCAGTGTGATAAAACAACGGCACCTAAAGCCATCAAATTTTGAATAACGTAATCCTCCACCGAATATGGGCATCTGGAAGCACTAATTTGGAATTCGTTTTATTACAGATTTCATATTTTGTAAAACTTTAACGAATTTTTGATTAACAAACTCAAGGATTTCAAAGCGAGCTGTGGCAACGTTGTACAGAAAAAAAAAAAAAAAAAAAAACATTTTTATCTCCAGCGTGTGAGACTATGTATCAGAAATTCTAAAGATATACGCTTTTTAAAATTATTTTGCGATATTGCTTTTGAATTGAATTTTATGGTTTAAATGCAAAGAACATGATATTTAATAAATAAAGATAACACACAAAACGTTAAACAAACGCCAAATGTAAAATGTACCAGCTTTTGCCAGGAATAAGTAGATTTATGAAGAATCATACATGTAGTCGTAGCTTAAATTATCAAGTTTAAAAAACAGGATCCATTTATTATTATTCAGGAGAAATAACAGTTACAAAATCAGATATCCGGAGTAAATAAAAAGAATTACTAATAACTTTTTGTATGAAGTTTATTGCATCGTGACATTTAAGAAAACGCCCCGATATTCATTTGCGAGTCCTTTTATAGCCTCTGGAAAGGCGGAGCATCCAAGAAATGGCGTCAGCCAATCCAATTCTCTTTAAATATTTCCAGAACATTCTATAACTGTACGTGTAGAAAAGGCGTGAAAAACAACTTGACTACGGGGCTGTGAATTTAATTCCACGTACTTTCAAATAAGAGAACGTCGCCATTAAAAATGAAAAGAACATACAGTTAGAATTTTAAGTGTATTCTTGACTATGGAATTTTATTATTACATATATGTGTGTGTGTATGTGTGTGTGTGCGTATAATGACACAAACTTAGCTCTAATCTGTAGCGTAAGTTATATGGATAGCCTGAAATGCTGAATCCGTAATGAACAGCAAACTTGGCAGGCGAGAAAAATTAAATCTCCTTTTTATTTCAGTAAATATATTGTGGCTACAAACAACTTAGCTCACTACTTGTGCCTATTTTCAAAATGTTTACATTTTTGACAGCTTTTTGGTAAGAAGAGAGAAGCAAGCAAAAGTCCATCTAGGCCGAAATGTCAAAAAGGAAGTGTAGTTGCGTTCAGGATGAAATCTTAATTCTGAATGAGTTAGTTTTGGTTCCCAGTGCACTTGATTGGATAACGAATACCGGGGTAGAGTTATTATTGACGGTTTAAGTTTTAGTTCCATTTACATCGTCAGTGTTGTGTAAGAGTCATGGCACGAATTAGTCTCGAAATGATGCAGTGCAGAAAAAGATTACTATTTTTTGAAATAGAGAGGAGAATCAAATGAAACATTTTATATACACATAAAATATATTTCATAGTTCAAAATTAAGCACTACTTTTTGGCATAAAAAATTGAAATTAAGTTTATTAAAAGTAATAATATGAAGATTTGTATAAAATATAATCAAAATCGCGATTTTTTTTTTTTTTTTTTTTTCTCTAAAATTTCATCATTCGTTGGTTGAAAACTCAGATTCTTTAACTTATAATATCCTCTTAAACCGAATTAAAATTTTTTTCAGATTTAAAATATTACATTTTTCGAACTTCCAGAAAAATACCCATACTTTAAAATCAAATGCAGTAGCTATCTCCAATCTTATACTGCAGTTATGAAATGCTAAAAAAACACCAGTTTCATTTCTTTCATGCGCAGGAAATGTATATATGTAAGAAAAATAAAGAATATATAAAAGATAAAATTAGCAGCGTAAATTAATTTTTCTCCTTTATTCTAAAAATAGTAATCTCTCTGCACTGCGTCATTTCGAGGTTAATCCATGTCATATAACTCTTACATAAATCTGGTAATGTAAATGGAACTAGAACTCAAACAGGCAATAGTAATTTTACGGCAGTATTACTTATCCAATCAAAATCCATTGAGAACCAAAACTAACTCAGTCTGAACTAAGATTTCACTCTTATCATAACGCACTTGCTTCCTGTGCCTTGGCCTAGCTGCACTGCAGTCTTTCTGCTCTTTCTTTCTTATTGCAAATTTATCTAAAATGTAATTTTTTTGGAATAAGCACAAAAATGTGCCAACTTGATTGTGGCCGCAACATGTTTACTGAAATAAAAGTTAAATTAAATATACCTTGACTGGCAAATTTCTTATTCATTGTGGATCGGCGTTTCATCATCCTATGACATCAAAATTCTTGCTGTTCGTTACGGTTCCATCGCCTGCGTTCTACTACAGAATCTATTACATACATATCATCGTTGTCACTGTGTTAAGTCTATATGTCAAAAAAGATGTTAGTTTTAAAGTTCCTTGCAATGAAAATGGGACTCTAAAGCAAAGGTCTCAAAGTGGCGGCTTGGAGGCCACATGAGGGCCCCAAAGAAATCATATGCTGCCTCAAAAGACATTTCTGTTCCGTACTTATTGCAAATAGGGTGCAGCAAAATTTCAAAAATTTACTTATTTGAAGTTTGAGTTTATATTATTTTCGTTTCCATTAAAAACGAACGTGTACTACACGATAGAAAATGTACAAATGCATTTAATTAGTTAACTATGCGATATAAATCTCATTCAAAGATCTGAAGATAGATTTCGTTAACTTTTATTCGTACTTGTCACAAACTAAATAATCTCAGTT